ATCGAAAGGGCTCAGCGGGCTCAGCTCTCTTCACTTGTTTCACTCTTCTTTCGCTTGAGCTTCTCGTCCTTGGTCTGGGTCTTCTTGCCTGCCAAGTTCTTCTTCAGGGTCTTCGAAGCCTTCAACGTCGTCAAAGCCATCAGGAGGCTCTTCTTCACAGCTTCCTTACTGCCGATCTTGTCAATGCTCGCCCCCACCTGTTTCAAGGTCTTCGTCAGATCATCCAGGTTCTGCTGGACGTTCTTCTTCTCGTCCTTCTTGAGCTTAGACTCCAAAAGCAGCATCTGGAAGAAGGTCTCTTCCTTCTGCAGCTCGGACTTGAAGAGGGTCAACTTTTTGTTGAACTCACTTTTGTTGTCTGTGTCGTCAACCTGCGACAACTTTTCCCAATCATCCATGCTCTTCGTCTTCGAAGAGTTGGAAGTCTTCTTCGACGATGTCGCCTTGCTCTTTTTCTTCTTCGACTTCTTCTTGTCACTGCTGTCGCTGCTGTCACCCTTCTCGGAGGAGCTCGAGTCTTCGGAAACACCGCCAGCATTCCTCGTGATGACACTCTTCAAGTCGGCGTCGATTTTCATGCCCTTCACCATCTCCATGTCCTCGAGCTCATCGAAGGTGAGCTTGTCCAAGGCAGCAGCTCTCTCCTTCTTGACCTTCTTGTCGGGGCCCTCCACTGAGCAGCTCTTTTGCTTCACAAAGCCTTCGGCTTCCTTGTCGACCACATTGGCGAACTCCAAAAAGTTGCTGTCTGTCTTCGACCTTCTCCATTTCATGGTTCCGGCCTTCAAGCGGGCTAAGGCCTCCGTCTTGCCGTAGCAATTCGTCATGGCCTTCCAGGGCTCCCAAGACACCTTCAGCTGCCGCGAGCTCATCTTCGTCAGCTGCAGGCATGCTTTCTGATAATAATCCCCGCACTTCCCTTCATCAAGAAGCCAGCTCGTCAACATGTCTTGCTTTCTCTTGTTGCCACCGGCACCGGATGTCTGGTCTCGGCGATCTCGGTAGGACTGATCACATCCCTCCTTCTGCCGGCCCTTCTCAAAGAGCTTCCACACCAGCTGTTGCTCTCCCGAGGGGAGCATCTTAAAGGCGTTCCAGACGTCCTTGCCCGACCAGCCCTTCACCTCCAACAGCTCGGCGTGAGTCTTGATGTTCTTCAAGCTCAAAGGCTGTTTCTGGACTGGCAACAAAGCCAGCTCTCCGGGATCGACCTCTTGGCCTTCCTCGTCGTCCTCCTGCTCCTCGTCGTTCTCGTGCTCGTTGTTCTCGTGCTCGTCGTCCTCGTGCTCGTCGTCCTCGTGCTCGTCGTTCTTCTCCTTGTCGTTCTTGGACTGCTTGTCGTTCTTCTTCTTGGGCTGCTTCTCGTTCTTCTTCTCGTTGTCGTTCTTCTTCTTCTCGTCCTTCTTGCTGGGCTGCTCCTTCGTGGACTGCTTCTTGTTCTTCTTCTCCGGCTCGGCTGCTTGTCGTGCTTTGTCTCCTTGTCGACAACCTCCTCCTCGACATTCTTGCCCGGCTTCAAGTTCTGGCCAGGCTTCGTCGCGGGCTTCTTCAAGAGGGCTTTTGCGACTTTCAAGACCGCCTTCGCGGTTGCTGCAGGCTTCTTCATGGCTCGATCTCTCAAGCTATGCTCCTATTCGAAAATCGATCTCTTTGAGACAAATCTCTCGTATGAAAAAGACTATGATTCCTGTCTGTTCTTGTTCCTTGTCTGTCCAGACATTAATGAATCTCGTGAAAAGTTCCTTGTCTGTCCAGACACACTCAATCTCTAGCGACCGTATCTGTCCAGACATGGAATCGCATTCTAATCTTGTCTGTCCAGACAATACGTCTTCACGAAGTGTATCGTGTAAGGTGCTTACAGCTTATAAATAAACAAATACATACATGTGTATATATATAGTATATATATATATATATACATATAGATACATATACATACCTATATATATACACATATATATATATATATATATAATTTTTGAAGGGGGGGGTCGGTTTCAGGGTTTCGGCTTTTTAGCACTAATTGAGGGTTGCAGGTGTATATATAGGTTTGGGTCTGACAGATTAGAAACCAATGTTGCTCCAGCACTGGGGCTTCGTCTCTGCATTAAAAGTGAGTAAAGCTAGGGTGGGGGGAGGGGTGCTGGCGGCCCCAGCTTTTGGGGGTGGTTGGGGGGTTGGTTAGGGTTGGGTGGTTGGGTGGTTGGGCGGTTGAATGGCTGGGTGCGGTTGGGTTTGGGCTTGGGTTGGGTGGTTGGGTGGTTGGGGTTGGGCGGTTGGGTTTGGGTTTGGGTTGGGTGGTTTTCTGCTTCGGTGGTTGGGTGCTTGGGCAGTGGGGTGGCACAAGTGCATGTGGGTGGTTGGTGGTTGGAGGCTGCGTGGGTGGGTGGCTGGGGTGGGTGGGGTGTTGGATGGGACGGTGGTTTCATGTGTGTGGATCCTTTCTGTTATGTTGTGTGTGTGTGCAGATATGTATGTATGTGTGTGTGTATGTGCGTATATGCGAGATTTATGGAAGCCTGTATGGCCGTTATTATTTGTAGCGTAAGAACATTCGTTCGTGATGGTACACTGTGGAAATAAAACCCCCATCCGACACCCCGAACCCCACACCCCAAAGGGCCGCAAGCGCCAATCCCTAAACCCGAAACCCCACCACCGAAACCATGAACGCAAGCTCCAAGCCCGAAGCACCAAGCTTGACCATACACCATCAACTAAACTCATACCGACAACTGCTACAAAACCATAATGATCCCCAGAACAAAAATTAGAAACTTGACCCGCCCTTAACCTAGTTGCTGAGTTGATCACATTATCCCAAAAAGTGTACAGGCCTAAACCTCCCGAAAGGTCAGCGGATATGTTGCGAGTAGGTGGAAGAGGCAGAGGCTCATCCCAAGCGCTACCAGTCCTGGGAGGCAACCCAAAAGGCTTCATGTAGCTCTATAGTAGATATTAGGCCTTGAAAGGATGTCTCGAAATTAGGTACTTGAAGGCAGAAGTATCTGCTACATGGCTACATGGAGCCTTAGGGTAACAAACGAAGCCCTTACATGGTATATAGGGCTCAGGGTTTGGGGTTTCGGGCTCAGGGTTTAGGGTTTGTAGGGTATAGCTATAAAGGGATGATTGTAGGGACTTAGGGGTGATGTGTTCAAAGGGCGGGGGGGGTTATGAGCCTGCAGCGTGTATACAGGGGGTAGTGCTTATGGTCTTAGGGCTGGAGGGTTGTAGGGTTTAGGGTTTGGGGACTTACACGGCTTGTGAGGTTTATGGGGTTTGTGCGGTTCGTGTGGCTTCTGGGGCTTATAAAGTTTAGGGTTTCAGAGTCTTAGGGCTTGGGAGTAGTAGGGTCTCAATATGTGTGTTTTGCTGCTTTTTTTGCTGCCCTTTCACATCTGCCAAGGCGTCTGCAATCCCAAGACTTTGTGGAGCCTTCTTGCAGGAGCCTCTGGCGACCGAGGAAAAAAACACCCTAACCCCTGCTGACGGAGGCTGGTCTGGAATCTCTCGTGGATTCCGTCTTCCCGCCCTAACTCCCCGCGTAAGTTAGCCTTGCAAGCCGGGCTTCTCCATCGCGAGTCCTCCAGCAGATCATCCGCAAGCCTTAGTGGACGACGCCAGGGTCGTCCGGAATTGAGGCTTTGTGGCTGTGTTTGATTTGTTGTATGCTGCTGGTGATGCTGTTACTTGTTACTTGGCCATAACAGGGACATAATGAAGGTTTTCGGTGGTAAGAGGGCTTGCTAGAATGAGGGGCCCTTGTAAAAAGAATGCTGCTACGTCGGGTCCCGATTGTGTTTTTTTTGCGGTTGGCTTGTGGGGTTGCAACCTTTCGGGTTCACAGGAAGCCAAACGGAATGCCTGATCAAGTCACTTCGCAGATTCTCCGCTGCTTCCAGACAGCTCGGTGCCAGATTCGACATCGTCCTCACAAGAAGGCTGGCAAGTTGCCATAGACTTAGAAGAACAGCTGATATCCCAGGCATCGCATGTCCGCCAGCTTGACATCTAGAACCAGATCTCAAGGCAGTGCGCACATAGCCCGACATCAGACATCCGGAAGCAGGAAAACACCGAGTTAACCCGAGACAAATCCTGAAGCACGAGGCCCTACATCCTGGAACACGGACGCGCATAATCTTTTTGACTATAAAGATGCTGCAGACTTAAGAAAGAAACCCTGAGTCCGACCCCTATACGCAGAACTTTGAGGGATTTGGGGTTGCACGTTTTGGGCGTTGAGGATTCAACACTCCAGCATTCATGCCCTCAAGCCTGAACATTAAAACTCCAACCCCAAGGGTGTAAATTTAGGGCTTAGCATCAAACCCAAAGCCCCAAACCCGGACTTGAACCTAACAGCAAATTGCCTTAGCATGCGAAGCTTAAGGCGTGGGCGTGGGGTCGAATTTCTCGACGCCCTCCGTACTGGTCTTGGTGCCAGGCAAGGCGCCACCGCGGCCTCCGCGGCGGGCGCGGGTGAGTGCATCTGTGGGGTTGGCCGTGCAGCGTCGTGTGGCGGAAGAAGCTTTGGATACTATAATCGTGCTCTCTGCATCAGGTGTAGTGCCCCTAGACTTACCCAGAGAGCCCACTACCCCTTAACTAAGGAATATAGTTTAAGTCATACTATGAAGCCCTCGCTATATAATCTAAGCCATATTCCTTAATTAAGGGGGTATTGGGCTCTCTGGGTAGAGCCGCCGAGGGGGGGGCGCGCCATGAGCATTCAGCTGCACATGCGCTACAAGTGCTCGCTCTGCGGGCCGAGGAAGCGAAGGCAGCAGCCCGGGCTGTCCCAAAGGCTCCATGTACCCATATAGTAGGTACTTAGGCCTTAAAGTACCTATATAGTGGCCCCTTGAAGGCCTAAGTACCTACTATATGGGTACATGGAGCCTTTGGGTGTAGTCTAAGCCTGGCACCCTAAACGCCTTAGACCACACGACTTTCAGCACTAACTATCTAAACTCCTAAGCCCTTCTTCTCCAATACCTCAGAGCCTAAAGTGCGATACACTAAAGTTCTCCAAAGCCCCTAACCGCAAGCACCCCAAAACACTAAAACTCGAAACCCAAACCTGTTGCAAGTCCTTGGCCATAGTCTGCCCGACGGCTGCATAGACCATGGCGCTCACCGAGCTCCGGGGAGATATTGAAAACCCACGGAGATTGGTTCTGATTTGAGCCGCTCGTTTTTTGTGGACTTGTTACTGCTTGATAGTGATTTTGGGGGGAGATCGGGGTTTTGGGCATTTTAACTGCAAGATTTAAGGTTCCGGGGCTACAGGGCTTGAGAGGTGTTAGGGTGTTGACCTTTGTAACACGAAACCAGCTCTTCTCAGATCTGGGCTGTGCTGCAGACACCCTAAACCGCAAGTAAAGCCTACCCAGAGATCCCAATATCCCAGAACATCCGCAGAGCAGTCTTTAGCATCCTGGTCGCGGGGAACCCGAAAGCACCCTGAAGCCCTAAGCCCTTCAGCCCTCAAAGCCTCAAACTCGAAAGCCTAAAGCCAGAAAGCCTTAAACCCCAAACACCCGAAAATCCTCTAAACGCCATCATATACGAAAACCCTAGGCCCTAAACCCTTGCATAACTGTGACAAAAGTGAGAGGGCCTCGAGCACGAGTTCAGAGTTCCTACCCAAGGCAGAAGGATGCTGAGCGCCGCACAGTCGGCAGCTAGAATGACCTCCGTGGGCTTACTTGAAGGATCATGGGACTTAGGAAGTAAGGTTATAAGTATCTTAAACGGGGTTATAAGTAGCTATAAGTAGAGTTACACTAATTGTGACCCTAGATACCAAGTCCCATGATCCTTTAAGTAGGGTTTAGGGTGTATATTAGGGTGTATAAGTGTTTTCTGGGTTTATTGGGTCGTTGGGTGTTCGGGGCCTGTAGGGTTTTGGGAGTTTCTGGATCTAGGTTTCCAGGGCTTTACATTGCTATGTCCTTTTGGGTCTGAGGGATACTGCTGAACTGCTGATGGACAAACGTTTATGATTAATCCTAAAGCGCCACATACAACTCAAACTTTCAACCCCAACATGCCCAAACCTTTTCAGAAGAAAAACATCTCCACACAGGAATCCTTGTGCGCCCAGCGACGAGACCAGGATCTTTTGAACACACAAAGCCTGAAACGGAAGATCCCCCATGTGACGGAGCCCCTAGAAGGACACTCGAAGGAACCCTTAAAGGCACCTTTGAAGGATCAACCCTAAACCCTAAACCCCAACCCTACACACCAAAACCCGACAACCCTAAACCCTAACACCCGACAACCCTGAACCCTAGCACCCGACAACCCTGAACCCTAGCACCCGACAACCCTGAACCCTAGCACCCGACAACCCTAAAACACCAAGTTTCAGAAGCTCCATCTGAAAGCGACTTGGCCTCGAATTTCTCGGCCGGGCTCAGGAGAAGTTGCTCATCGACGGGCCTCAATGGGGTGTTCCCAAGAGTTGCCTGAAATCCCCTTAGAACCATAATAAACATTATTTCTTGATATTCCCTTGGGTTTTATATGAACAAAAATGAAAATTATTTCCTAAGGAGACTATGGTTGCTGTTGAGGCATGAGGACACAATGAGCTTCTAATTTTATGGCAGTCAATCCGGTGTTTTACAGCTTTCATGCAGTCTTCAAGGGTGTTCCCGATGATGCTGGCTGTGCCCCTTAACGGCACAAAAGATTCGAAATCAGGTTTTACTTTTAATATAAGGATTCGGATTTCCTGGGATCTCCAAATGGCCAAACCGAAAAGTCGCAATAAGCCCTAGTATAGGCGCCTTCATGTTGAGAATGCGGTTTTGAATATCTTGTACGGTACTTGTAGTAAGGAGCCCGTATATTGTGCGTTTAAGCAATAAGGGAGAATAAAGTATAAACTTGTATTCCATAATGGTTCCTTTAAGAAAAGAAGTACGGTACTCCAAAGCCCAGTATAGGTAAGCATTTATGCTCCTACGTTACACCGTGAAACCCCGAACCCCCCCAGAGACTCCAATATCCCTTGATGAAGGAATACACCTTAAGTTAAACGTAGGATCCCGAATATGATTTAAGGTATATTCGCTAACAAAGGGATGTCGGAGGCCCTTTAACCCTAAACCCTATAGATCCCCTAAAGGTTTCCTTTAAAGGAACCCTAGGCAATCCTTAACCAAGGGATCTTGGAGTCTCCTAAACCCTAAACCCTATAGATCCCTTAAAGGATCCCTTAAAGGAGCCCTAGGTATTCCTGAATTAAAGGGGGATGTTGGAGTCTCCTAAACCCTAAACCCTATAGACACCTTAAAGGATCCCTTAAAGGAGCCCGAGGTATTCCTCAATTAAAGGGATGTTGGAGTCTCTACTTGGAGGACATGGGACTTAGTAAGTAAGGTTATAAGTACCTTAATTGAAGTTATAAGTAGTTATAAGTAGAGTTACCCTAATTATAACCCTAGTTACTAAGCCCCATGATCCTTGAAGTAGACCCTAAACCCTAAACCCCATAGATCCCTTTACAGAAACCCTAGAGATCCCTTTAAACAGCCCTTTAAGAACCCTTACTAAGTTCCGTGATCCTTTAAGTAGAGACTCCAACATCCCCCTTAAGGAAAACCTAGGGCTCCTTTAAGGGATCCTTTAAGGGATCTATAGGGTTTAGGGTTTAGGAGACTCCAAGATCCCTTGGTTAAGGATTGCCTAGGGTTCCTTTAAAGGAAGCCTTTAGGGGATCTATAGGGTTTAGGGTTAAAGGGCTCGCAACCTTGGGCCCCAGCTCGCTCCAGTCCAGCAGCACAGCCTTCGGAGCCTCCTCGGCACAAGGTGCCGTGGCCTGTCTTTCCTAGACCTAAGAGTAATCTAGGAATAAAAAGGGTGCCCTTTTTGGGGCAAAGGGTGTTATAAGGGAACCTAAACCATAAAAAAGGGAATAAGGGCCTACTCTGGGTCCTGGTTTCAGGGTTTAGAGCTTTTGGGGTTTAGGGTTTGGGTTTTAGCATCTTGGGGCTTTCATGGTCTTCAGGAATTTGGGGGGTTTAGGGTTTGGGGCTTTTACGGTCTTTTTGGTTTTGGGTTTTTAAGGTTTTAGGGTTCAGGGTTTGGTTCGGGGGTTTGAGTTTTAGGCTGTCTGAGGGATGCTGTGCACTTGCTGTGTACCCACCTGTTTTTTCAGAATGTTCATACTCGAACTAACCAAATGACAAAGAAGCTATGGGGTCAAAGGCGGCTCAACGTCTCCGAAGGTTTGGCTTGCGGGTTGAGGTGTTGCAGTATGAAGGCTCGGGTTTGTGCTCTATTCTTATGCGTGTTGCTCCCGGTACTTGCATGTATGAGGACAGTTGCAGATGCCATCTCGGTTGTAGTAGAGGAGTTTATGAATTTCAGGGGACCGGCTCCATATTTCTGATTTCTGAAGCTCAGTTATGGTCTTAGTTTCATGGACATACTTAACAGATCATGGGACTTAGCAACTAGGGACTAGGGTTACAATTAGGGTAACTCTACTTATAACTACTTCTAACTCCAATAAAAGGTACTTATAACCTTACTTACTAAGTCCCACGATCCTCCAAGTACCAGGCCTTGGAACGGTTCAGTTACAAACAAGGCCGACATTACCTCCAGCCCCGGCCTCTGAAGATCCTAAGAAACGCCCTCGTATGACCCTATATGGGAGTTTCCAAACATTAGGGGTACCTTATTTGGGGATCCTTATAATAAGGATCCTACTGGTATTATATTAGGGTCCCCCCAATTTCGGAAACTCCCATATATCTCTTGCATACTAAACGCCACAAGGCAAAACACTCTACGACTCTACGATCGTTCAGAGTGTACGAAACCCCAAGGCTTATAAATCGGATGCGAACCCTGTCAAATCTGCATCACCTGAAACCTCTTCCCAATATGAACCTCTTAAACTACCGAAGTTGCTCTACAAGCAACATGGAATGACATCATGACGTCCCAGAAAAAGGGGAACCTAACACAACACCGCAACTCCGATCTTCGATCTTGAAACCTGCATGCCAAGGCGTAGTTTCTAGCCCCTCTGAACTCTAAAGCCTGCGCACTAAAATGCCTGAATCCTAAAGCCCTGAATAAATGCTTAAAGCCCAAAACGCGCCCAAGGATCCCCAGCGAACCTAGGAAGAACAAGGACCCACTTGGAGGCCTACTCAACTCTAAACCCCAAACCCCTAAACCCACACCCCTATCCTCAAATCCTGAACCCCTAAACCCTAAACCCTCCACCACGAGTCAGAGACCTCGGCCCTCTCAGATCCCCACAGTACCGGAGGCCGGCGCCCTTCCATTTTTGCGACGAGGCCTCCGGGACGACCGTCAACTTGGGCTTTGAGGGTTGATAGGCTTGCGGGCTCATAGACTTCAGGGTTTGGGCTATGGGTTAGGGTTTATAGTCAATTTGGGCGTTTACAACGTGGGCTTTTAGGTCTCATAGGTTTTTTAGGATTCATAAGACTTTTAGGGCTTATATGCTGTACGGTTTAGCCTTTCAGGGTTAAATGGGCGTTTAACTTTAGGGTTGTTTGGGGCTTTTGAGATTTAGAGGCTCTTTGGTTTAATAGGCTCTAGGGTTTGAGTTCTTAATATGGGATTTACAGGCTTTGAGTTTGTAGGCTTTAGCGTTGGGCTTTCCGGAGAGTAGGCTTTAGGGGTTTAGGGCAAATAGGCTTTAGGGCCTGGCACTTTTAGTTTGGGGTTTTCACGTGTGATCAGGGTTTAGGGTTTAGGGCATAACCTTCCTCTGAACCCGGCCGCCAGCCATTCCTTCTCAGTCGGCGGAATCTGGCAATTGTTTCAGTTCAAGAAAGGTTTCGTGTCTTATGCTAACACCAGTTCATGGCGCTGCAGTGTGCGTTTCTGCGCGAAGGCCGTTGCCTGTTTTGAAGGACTTCGTGCCCAGCTCCCAGCAATTGCGGCTGGGTGCTGATGATTTTGTTCTTCGGGGGAAAACACCAGGACACAATGCCCGAAGTCGGACAAGCGATGAATGGGCTTGCCGATATTGCCAGTGCGCAGGCCAGGCGAATTCCCACACATCGCACTACCCATTGCTCCGCCATCCGGCTCTGTCGTCCGATGATATCTAATGCCCCTGGGGACATGATGGTTCCCCCCCTAAATTCACCTGACTTAGTTGGGGGTCGCTGAAATCATTCAGGACTTAGGGTGAGTTTTTATTGCGCCTAATCTGGGCTAGGAGGTCAAATCTGCATGACAATTGTGCTTACTCATGCTTCTTCCGGTGTCTTAGAGGCATGTTGATGCTAGACATCCCTAAGCCCAAATCCCCAGGCTTTCAACATGCATGAGGTTATGGCAGCAAGCAAGGGTTCGGGGTAACAGAGGTCACAGGCCAAGGGTAATCCAAAGATGCATCGCAAGCTCCCAGATGCTTCAGAGATTTCATTCATAAAAAGCCGAATTTCCTGGCCTCCCCATAATTAGCCGAGGACCAAACAGGCTAAGGTTACCCAGTTACCCACCCCGAACCCTATTGAAACCGTTAAAACCCGTATACCCAGCTGCAAGATCTACAGTGTGCCTAGGAAGCCTCTGCTTCAACACTGACAGGTGCCCAGAACTAGGGTTAGTGTTCTGGGTATGGGTGTGATGGGATTTGCCGTCGAAGGAAGAAGGAACGTTCTGCCGCGAGGAGTGTCGACATTCGATATGCTGCCTTTGGACTGAAACAAGTATCAGCCGTAAAGGTTTCAAACCAGGATTTATGTCAACGATTTGTGCTGTAGGCAAGAGGACTCAAGAGTATCGCAGGGCTCGGATGCTGAGAAATAAAGCACATTGCGTTAGACGAATTGAAGAGCATGGCACCGTTCTGCATGTTGCTCGCTCTTGCTGAGAGACCACCGTCAAAAACCAAATCGCCAGAAACAAAAAAAAAACTGAATGTCAAAACGCCGAAAGAGCTTCAGCCCTGAACCCCAAAACTGCAAAACACGGTGGTGGCTCAAGGTTTTGATTGGGCTCTGGGTGCTGTCTGGCCTCGCAGATATGGATGAACTCTTCTGGCAGTGCTCCTCTGGAGTGAGACAAGGGAGTTCTTCATCCTGGCCCCTTAAAACTGATCCCATCCGCGAAATCCGACAGCGCAGTAACCCGAAACCACCTACACCCGGCCTAGACCACCGAAACTCGAAGCCGCAACTGCCCTAAACACCACTGCCCCCCCCCCCCCCCCGCGTCGAGTGTTGGGATTTCCGGATAACATAGAACCCAGTAAACCCTCAACGAAAGGATGTGCATTCAACTATACCTATCTTAAGTTATAAGGGGGTCACAGCTGCATGAGGAAGGCTGCAAGTATCTCGCAACAGTAGTAACCTACATACGACTATCGCAACCTTCTACGCGCAACTACATTACAGTACTCTTGAGTTTTTCGAATATCTGCGAATGATAGCTCCGAATTCGTTGGCGTTAACCCCTGACTCGCGGAGCTCGGCCCTATGTCCTAAATCGTGTCATTTCGGGGCCTGAAATCATGAGCGCAGGGTTTAGCTGGGGTATATCATAATAAATGAAGGTTAGCATTACATCAAGGAACCCTATGCTGTGAGGAATTCAGGCCCCAGTAGCATGGGTCCTGGGTGAAGTCTGCCGTGTTTCGCTCGAGCCTCAGCCACGTCACGCTGCGTTTGCCAGGGATTCAGGCCCCGGGTTCCAAGGCTTTCGGAGGGTGGGGCGGGTCGGGTGGGGACGATGACGTACCCTTTTTAAGAACAAAGCCAGTTTACCCACTACTCAGGATCTATAGAATTCGTGATCACACAAACATCACTGGGAACGTCAACTTTTTGAAAGCAACGGCTCTGTGAAAGGGGTTTGGTTTCAATTCTGCAGCCTCAAGCCCCACACATCCACATCCTCCAAAACCCTAAACCCTAAACTCTAAACCCTAAACCCCTAAACCCTAAACCCTAAACCCTAAACCCTAAACCAGCTTTCCTGCTTGTCTGGCCCCAAACTCAAAGGCAACGCTCGAAACCTCAGAAGGATTTCGGGCCCTTAGGGTTTAGGTGCTGGTTTCAAGGCTTTAGGTACCTAGGAAGCTTTCTGCTCGGGGCTTTCTGAAATTTTGAAAAAGAAGGGGGACCGAATTTTTGGGTCCGTATACTGTAATAAGGATCCGATCCTACTGTTTACGGTACTATGTTGGGGTCCCTCATTCGAAAACCCTTAAATCCCAAACCCTAGAACAATACCCAAACCCGAGTAACACGCGGTTAACCCTGAACCCAATCCAAAAACCCAAACGGCCCAAACCTTACACAAAATCCGGGAACTCGTGGAACAATGTGACTGCTAACGCCTTGGGTTTGTACGGTTTTGAAGATGAACAGCCCGGAACCTGTTGAAATATAAACCCTAAACCCTCAACCTTATAAACTCTAAACCCGAAACTGAGCAGCGATCAAGGATATCGTTTCTTCGCGGTCCGTGAGCGTCACCTTGGAAGCCCAGCCGGAATGCTTCCGGAAAGCAGTTCTGTGGGATGGAGACTGCAGCATTTGCAAAAAAAAACAACAAGAACGGGGATCCACCCGAAACCCTGCCGTAAACACAACACAGACTGCCTAGACCCTAAAACATACAAGCTGCAAATCCCAAGAAAAATGCATTGAAACAACCCAACCCTATCTAAAACCCAAAGAAACCCAGTAAACCCTCTGAGGCCCATAAATCTCGTAGATTCTTTTGGCCCTAGCCCAAAGGATCCATGTACCCAAATAATATACTTTGGCACCAAAGGACCTATGTATCGGGATTGCTTTAAGGCCAAGGTATATACTCTCTGGGTTCATGGACCGACCCTTTCAGCCCTAAGCCCCAAACCCTTTATGGTACCCATACAGGAGCCCTTAAAGTAGGATGCCCAGTAACCTAGCAGAAAAAGGGCTCCCTTTTTGGTATTGGGTACCTTAATAAGGAACCTAGGACGACAAAAAGGGAATAAGGGTACTACTGGGCATCCTAGTTAAAGGAACCCTATCTGGGCGCATGGACCCTTATAGATCCCTTGTAGAACCCTTTAAAGGAACCCTTATGAAAGGAACCCTAAACCCTAAACCCCTAAACCCTAAACCCTAAGGAACCCTATCTGGACACATGGACCCTTAGGGTACCCCTGCTGCCCTCGCAGGGAGCTTCAACCTCCGAAACCTCAGCTCCACTCTTCGAAGCTGAGCCACAACCACCAGTTTGGGGTTTAGGAGTTTAGGGTTTAGGAGTTTCGAGTTTAGGGTTTAGGAATTTTTCGGTTTAGGAGTTTCGGGTTTAGGAGTTTGGGGTTTTAGGGTGCAGGGTTGCCACCCCCAAACCCTAAACTCATTAAGCTTAGTCTGAGGCCACCGAGACATTCGATATTGCAAGGGTTTAGGGTTTGGCACTGTTTGGCATGGTACGGGTTAGAGTTTAGGATTTGGGGTTGGGGGTTTAGGGTTTTCGATACATTAAGCCCTGAAGCCCTTAACCCACAAACGGATTTCGCATGCATGAAGCACTCCGTTTTTGGCACAGGGAGGGCAAGGCTCTAGGGGGTTACCCGCGTCTCACGCGGGAAGACCCAGGAAAACAAACCCTAAGGGTCCATGTACCCAAATATTATATAGTTTAGGCCCAATGTACCTATATCGAGGGTACTTTACCGCCAAAGTATATGGGTGGTTGTCAAAAATCATGGCCCCTATTCGGGTACCCTAAATATTAGGTGCCGTATTATAATAAGGACTCAAAAAGGGACCCCAATATTGACAACCACCCAGAAAGTATCTGGGCACATTGACCCTTAGGGAGCTGCTACTGGACGCAATCGTTCGCTAACGTTTGCACGTCCTAAACGATGGATTTGTGGTATGCTCCTTCCTACGGGTGATGCAGGATTGTGTGCAGCAGCAACCGCAGTAGTGATCGAGGTGCTTCTAGTACAAAAAGACACATTACCGTGGCTCCGGGGATAAGCCTAATCAAAACAGTGGCCTTATCACATTTAGAAGAGTCTCTGGCTACACTTTGCACCAAACTATAATCTAAGGTAGAATACTACCTAGACCCCCATAAGTAGGTAAAATAATAGCCCAAATACTATAAAATGCTATTATTCTACATACTTTTCGGGTCCAGGTACTACTTCGCCAGGCTTCGGTACTACGTCGCTGACGTCTGGGCCGGGCAAGGTGCCTCGGCCTCATCGCGAGAAACGTCAATCAAGCTTACGCCGGGAGCTCCGCTGTCGCCGATGCGTTCAGAAACCTGCAAAAACGGGGATTTGAGTGTTATAGGAAGGAGTTCAAGGATTGTAAGCTGCCGGGTTTGTAAGTGTCGGGGGTGCTTAAAGAGCGTGTAGAGCTTGCGGTTCTGATTTCACGCTTTAGGTTTTTGCCTTTTGAGATTTGAAGCCTCTTTCGTTCTTCTTTGATGGGTTTACGGGGAAGGGCGTGGCGAGCTTCGGGTGGTTGAGTGTTGGGACTTTTCAGATTAGGCTCTCCACGGAATTCATAATTATCTGATTAAGCCTGAGCCCTGCGCATTTCGATCACATACAAGCCTAACCCCAAGCCCTAAACCACAGCTCTGAATGCCACAAGCTCGATTCTTGAGCCCTGGCAGCCTTGACAGACCGGGTTATACCTATTCGAACAGGACATAAAAGTTGTCTCACAAGCTAGCTGCTACAGGGGCATGAGTAAGCAGAACATAACTTTGGGGTATATTGCATACTCAGGTATGTAGCCGTTCTTGCGTCCCTAGATCAGGGCAATCGAAACACATTCCTCAAGTACTGTAGGGGCCTTAATAATCCCCTAGACTATTGTGCGGGTTCCTTATTATAAAATTATATTTGTTTGAAGTATAGTAGAATAATGAGCCCCAAAGCCCTTAAAAAAAAAAAAACCATATAGTATGCGGTTTTGGGATCCCGGGGCCTGCTCTGCAATGCCCTCCCAGTTCAGGTGCGCCACAGCAATTGAAAAGAGCAGGACGTGGCCACAAACAGCCACTATCCTCGCTGAAAGGATTTTCAGTGCCAAGAACTCAGGACAAAATACAACCCTTGCATGGAAAACCCTAAACCCTAAACCCTAAACCCTAAACCCTAAACCGTTTCTTCCAACAAAAGCAAGGGGGCTCTGGTCCATTAGATGTAACTCAGTGGGAGAGCTACGGGGAACTTAGGGCAATGACGCTTACTGTCGTCAGGGCAAAAGCCGGCTTGGACATGAGCATGACCCTAACCCAAAGGCTCCATGTACCCATATAGTTTATACTTAGGCCTTAAGATACCTATATAGGGACCCTTTTAAGGCCTAAGTTACCTATTAGAAAAGGTACATGGGGCCTTTGGGTAAGCCCTCACCCTAAGCCCCATAAACCCTAAACATTCCCGATGTTGATTGGAGGTTGGCCATCATAATCGAGCCTATATGATATGGGTAGTTCTCTCAATTGGGGGGTCCCTTTGAGATCCTGTTTATAAGGGTGCCGTACTGTGTTGGGGACCTGCAAAGTGGCATAATGTAGATAACTATCCATTTATACCCTAATTAGTGATTGACTTGTATACCCAAGTATGTACAAACAAGTATGCAGCTGTGACTAAGACAGGGGCGTTCACAATTAAACAGTATTTTTGGGATTTGGGATATGGCCTATGTTAGTAATCAAAATAGGAACCACCAGGAATGCAATTGGTGATCACCCAGGCTAGTACCTGCACATGACGACAGTACGCACGCTTACCGTACTTCGAGCTGCACTGTGAGCTACCCGTTCCTTAACCTTAGACTCCTCGACCCCCGTACCCCTACACCCAACAAAAGCACCAGCATCCAACGCCCACATAATCAAAACCTTTTTCATGGGTGGTTGTCAAAATTAGGGTCCCTTTTCGGGTGCCCTAAGTATTCGGTGCCGTATTATACTAAGGACCCAAGCAGGGACCCTGATGTTGAAAACCACCCATTTAATCCCTGAAGCCCTGGCCATCTCTCCCAAAACCCCTGAAGTCCTGAACACCAAGGGCCCCACCTCGCGACCTGACTATCATGATAATCCTGATAATGAGACGTCCTTTATAGCACTCCTATATGGGCCTCAGTAGTAGTTAGAAAAAGGTTTTGGGCACAATATACTCTAAGAAGTGAGGAACACCAAAATAATATCTGTAACTATAATTTAGGCCCCCCAGATTAAATGCGCTTCAGGCTCATCCCTATCCAAAGGCCAGGGAGTTCCAGGCGGGGAAGGCCAAAAGCGCCGAAAGCCAGGGCCACCCCAAGGGGAACACCAACCTAGCTTGGAGGATCATTGGACTTAGTAAGTGAGGTTATACGTACCTTAATTGGGGTTAGACGTAATTTTAAGTAGAGCTACCCCAATTATAACCCTGGTTACTAAGTCCCAGGATCCCTGAAGAGGGTTCGGATCTTTGGTTCTGAGGTGCCTTTGACAGGCTCTAGAATCTAGAGTGGCACTAAACCGGGACTAGTTCGGCTTTGAGGTTTAAGGGTTTATTCGGGAGGTTCAAGAAATGCCGTAGTGTTATCTGTGCAGTCTTCGAGGATATGGGGGCAATATTCAGTTATATTGTGGGGTTGTTTGTTAGAAGGATTGCAGGGATTGTAGGCTCCAGTATCCCTCAGCTACACGTCGCTTGTTAAGGCACCACTACCTTCTGAGAACGATTCCGAAATAAAGGAGCGGTCGAGGTTCTGGGTCCAATTCCGGGCCTTCAGACTTCAAGCTTTGAGGGCCAACAATATACGGAGGTCTGAAGAGTCAGCATTCACAATCATCCCTGATAGTTCCGCCATAAAACTGTACTAGCACATCTCAAAACGCTAGTCTAAACATCAAGGCGCCCATACTCGGGTCTTCATGAATCATGTAATAAGGCTTTAGGGCTTTCAGGTTCAGCGATTGGGACTCCGAGGGTGTGAAATTCTCCGGTCCACGAGCCCAAAAGCTATCATCCAGGTACCATGTGGGCAGTTAAACTAGGGTCCCCGAAGCCGAGCGGAACCCGTGTAAACAGGGCCCCCAAAGGGCCTACTTTGGAGAACTACCCATGTGCGAACTTAGGAGCCAGCCAGTAGCAGACAAAGACAATGCGCGCTCCAAGATCCTGCTTTCCAGCACCTTGCAGAACGCCACCTGAGATAGGGTTCACCTATATTTATAGTAGGGTCCAAATGAATTCCATATGAACCTACGTTAGGGTCGGTTGGAGTTGCGACCACTGCAGGTGAAGGTTGTGCAGACAGCCCCTTTGAAGCCCGCAAACAAGCCACGCCCCACAAACCGAAACTCCTATTACCCGACGCATGCTGTTTAACTGTAAACAACACCTAAACCCTTAAGCCCCGAACACGACGCCCCTGAACCGGAACGGGAAAAGCAATGGAAACACGCTACTTGGACAGCTGTTCTTGAGATGAGCCGTTTAGGGTTT